TATAATTTTCTTTTCTTGTTGCCTCTTTGCCTGGTTTTGGTATTAGAGTAATTCTGGCTTCATAGAAGGAGTTTGGGAGTTCTCCCGCTGTGTCTATCATTTTGAATAATTTCAGCAATACTGGTCGTAGATCTTTGAATGTCTGGTAGAATGTAGAAATCTGTTGTGAATCCATGTGGGCCTAGGCTTTTTCAGTCGAGAGGTTTCGTATGACTGTTTCAGTTTCCTTATTTGTTATGGGTCTGTTTAGGCTGCTGATCTTGTCTTGGTTTAACTCTAGTGTTGGCCATGATTTCAGAACTTCATCCGTTTCTTTTAGATTTTCAGATTTAATGGAGTATAGAATTTAAAGTGTTCCCTTACAACAATGTTCTGTATTTTTTGGTGTCTGTTGTGATGTTTCTCTTTTTGTTTCTGATGTTGTTAATCTGAATTTGCTCGTACTTCCTTTTCATTAACTGGCTAAGTGTCTATCTTGTTTAACTTTTCAAAGAACCAGATTTTAGATTGATTGATTTTTTTGTATTGTTTTCTTTGTTTCTATAATAAAATATTCTTTAAAAAGGAAAATTACAATATAAGCCACAGATGGAAGAAATATTGAAAGGCACCCATGCCAGTTGATTTGAATCTTATAAAAGTAAGAATTAATAGAATTCAATGACAAGGAAGCAATTCAAATAGAATTTTATGGCTTTGTGTTTATGAGTATATACAATTCTTGCTGAGGACTCAAGTATTGACTCACAAGGACAAATCACATACAGATGCAAACAAATACACATTATTAAAACAAAGATAAAATCTTTAGAAATAATCATAACAGACATTAATAAGGAGATACAGGCAGAAAAAGCACTGGATTACACAAATACAAATTGAAACCTCAGTAGAATACCACTACATGGTAATCTAAAATAAGTATAATGATAATTATCATCCATTTATGGTAATTACATAGTAAGGTACACTGTTGTTCAGGATACAGAACAACTGGAACTTTCATGCATCATCATTGAGAATGCAAAGTATTACATTCCTGTGGAAAACAGTTTGATACTTTCTTAAAATGTTCCACAAGAAGCTACTCTGTAAGTCAGTGTTCCCAGGCCTAGATATTTATCTAAGAGGACTGAAAACATATCCACACAGGTTTCTACATGTAACTGTTTGTAGCAATTGCTTTCAAAATAACTCAAACCTGGAGATCATTTAATGTTCATTTCAGTCAGTGGATAACTACATCCAATAACCAACCAGCTATATAGAGCAGAACAATCCATGAAACACGCAACAGTCAGACCATGAATCTAGTCCTGCAGGTTTCTGGCACCTTGTTCATATGAACTTACAGCAATGGTGCGAGTACACACAAGACCTATGCAAACTCGGTCAAACAAAACCCAAGCAAAAACTGGGGAAATGGGCAGGAGGCCCCAACCTTAGCTGAGGAACTATTGGCAGCTGATCACATCACTGCTGCATAAGGGAGAGTCCAACTTCTTTTTTTTTTTTCATCTTTTTGGCACAGAGTCTCCTTGTAGCCCCAACTGTCCTAGAACTCACTATGTAGACCAGGCTGGCCTCGAATTCACAGAGATCTGCTTGCCTCTCCCTCCCAAGTGCTGGGATTAAAGGCATGCGCCACTGTGCCCAGCGTGTCCATCTTCTTTAAGCGAGTGATGCTAGATAGGTTGACCAAGCTTCAATGGATGAACTCTCAAGGAGGGACATCTGGGTATACAAACCTGACTAGATAGACCTTAACATACATGGCAGAATGCATGAAATGCTATGCACAGGCTATAGGGGGAACATATAGGGGAGGGATCCATTAATATGATTAAGATCTATTTATGAAATGTACAAAAATTCAATAAGAATATACAGTGCTAAAATGTATTCTGCCTTTTTCAGGACCTGAGACAAAAATTACATGCTACATAATTCCATGTACTATGAAATTACAGGAACAGGCAGGCATTTGTACACAGGGAATGGACACAAAAGAGCAGGAAAACGTGTCAGTTAGGGAAATATTCTCTCTCAATTGGTTCTTGGTCACATGACATATATGTTTGTAAGAATGCATTAAATGACACATCTTTAAACAGCTGAATTTTCAGCTGAGGAGAAGGCCTAGTCAGTAAAGTGCTTACCAAGTAAGCATGAGGGCCCAAGACTGATCCTAGAGAATGTGTAAAAAGCCAGCTGTGATGGTACAACACTGTAGTCCAAATGCAGGAGAGGAAGAGAAACAGGAGGCTCCTGGGGACTACACAATCCTTCCACATGTGTGGAGTCCTCCAGTCCATCCATGCTCCTGACACATAACAAATAATCTCCACAGGAGAATATTCAATTAAGCGAAATCTAGGAATCTGCTGTTGTTATAAGAAAGGACCTTTGCAATCTGAACAGTAAAATGCTCTTCTCTGCCTGGAGAAGGGGTTTTGATATTAGATTAATCATGGCAGGAAATGCCCAGGGCATTTAATACATGGATTCTATTGCTGCAGAGTATTTGCTTCATTGGAAAGGTTTTAAAATATTTCTAGAAACACTGAAAAATAGATTGTTGGCTTGAACATTGTTGAGTGACTATGATGATCTGGAAAACAGCCATTTTTCAAGTAGTTCAAATAGGAACTTTTGAAGACTCAGCACTGTGTTGTATCTTTTAAATGATGTATTAGTATTTCTCAAATTCTTCCAAAAAGATAAAGAAGGAAAGAAAAGAAGAAGCGAGCAAACGTGGAAACGGAAGAAGGGAGAAAGAGGAATAGAAAAAACATTTTAACATTGCATTTTTATTTATTATTTGAGAATTTCATGCATGTATACAATGTATTTTGATCACCTTCACCCCATTCTGCCCCTCCAGCTCCCCCAGATGTCTCCCCCAAATTTCCCTCCCAAATTCACAACTCTACTTTTTAATATATGTAGCCCACTGTGTTGAACAGTGGTGCTACCTGTGTGCATTTTCTCTGACATATCTAAAAATTATTTTTCTTAAATACCTTGCCTGTGTATGTAGGATGTGTGAAGTGTTTATTATTTCCAGGACCCGCTGCTTTTTGACTATTAAAGCTGTTCTACTTAGTTTTGTCTTTTATTGCTTTTGGAAGGACATATTTATTAGCATTTATGGGTTGTCTATTAACAGTTCCACAAAGCAAACATATAACTATAATGAAAAATATTAACTTAATTAAGAATGGGAAGAGGAACTGTTAATTAGAATTGGTTTACTCTCAAATAATTTTAATGTTTATTCCCTCATATAAGTAGCTGGTTGGAAAACAGGAAATTGGGATAATAAGAATCCTTTTCCTCTCTCTCTCTTTCTCTATCTCTTTCTCTCTTTTTCTCTCTCTCTTTCTCTCTCTCTTAGAATTAATTGTTAATAAGAAGAGGGAAATATTTCTAAATCTGTAGGAGGTCAAGGTTGGCCCTGGAAGGAGGGTCATATGTTATGGTGGCAGACACTGCTTCAGAAAATTTAATAGGTGCCCATTCATAAAACACAACTTTTTTTACTTAGGTGAATCAGAGCAATGGTTTAAGTATTGCACAAGGGCACTTGGTATGATACATGCCACACTTTGGACTCTGCATGGGAGAGATAATCATAAAACAATGTAACTAAGTGCTCTGAAGCGCCAAAGTGCTGTGCTTGGAATAAAGCAAGTTAATTTTCAGGTATTTAAGGGGCCTTCTTTACAAGACCATCATGCGTGCCATTTCCCTTAGTTAAGTCAAATAAGGTGTGACAGACACAAAAGAAGAAAAATGGATTCAAAGTAGATAAGAAGCCTCTGTCCCCCATTAATCTGAGTATGGACTTTCCAGTCCTTTACCTTGTTTTGATCTAGAAAATAAATTACACATGAACACATAAAGATCAGTGAGGCAGCAAGCTCCCCTGTTAAACAGTACTGAATGAAAATATTACTGGGATAAATAATATGAGTTCATTAAACTTTTATATCTTAGAACAAAGAAGCTTAATATATTCTTTTTGAGAAAAATTAAAGTTGCATTTTCGAAGACTTTGAAGCTTGATTCTGTAAGGAAGCATCAGTTTAAAGCCTCATTTTTCCACCATGCTGAGAAGTTAGGGGGACAATCCTGACCCTCTTTGAGGTATAACTTTTCCATGCATGTATTGGTCAGACTTTGTTTAAAGTCTACATAACTCTAATATTTGAAGGTAGTATCTCTAGAAAAAAATAGCAATACCTGAAATGTTATTTTAAATACATAATGGTAATGTCAGTTAGGAGTCTTCCTTCTACTAAAAAATAAAAATTAAAAAATTATATGAACATTGATTTATGACATACACTGAAAAATAGTCTCCCTAAAATGGTTGTGTTTATTGCTTCTTAAGTAAATATGGTATAAAAAAGCTCTGTATTGACAAAGTTCTTTGATAGAAAAAGAATGATGTATTTCTTAATTCTCAACTCAGCATTAGAAAGAAAAGGCTTAATTACAATTCATTAAAATGACTATAGTATTTGAAAAAATGTCTTACAGTGTGCTTGTAGGAAAAAAAGGACAAATGGTATAGAGTAATAAACACTGAATGATTTACTATATTGAAGGAAATGAAACAGCTTATGTAATTCTTTGGTCGGGACAAAGACAGTACATGTGTGCATAAGAAGAGTACAATATTTACAAATGTGATAAACTATAACTTGGAACTTCAAACCATAGCAAGTTACAGGTTCAAGAATCTATGGCTGTCTTCCTCCTAAGTGAGCCACAGTGATTAAAGTGCAATTAAGTATATGAATGTGTGATAAATTAAACTTAAACAGTAACCTAGAGAAACATTCTCAAATAAAAGGTGAGGGAGGTGATTAGAGCACATGGAATGTGGACACACCCAGGTTAAGGATATATAAACCTTGGAGTCCGGACCCTGTCACTAAAGCTCAGAGCATCTTCTCAGTTGCAATCCAGCTCACCTCACATCTTCTCTCAACATGCCTTCCAGTTGCTGTTCTGGAAATTTCTCCTCTCGCCCCTATAGGGGCCACCTGCAACACTCACAGTCCTCCTGTGGTTCTTCCTTCCCCCATCACCTGGTCCACAGAACTAACTTCTGCTCCCCCAGACCCTGCCATCTGGGATCCTCTCTCCACAGTGGCTGTCATCAGAACTTCTTCCAGCCCATCAGATGCCAGACTTCCCATGTGGTCCACAGCTCCTGCCAGAGGCCCTGCAACCGCCCAAGGGTCACCAGATTCTGCAGTCCCTGCCAGACGACATATGCTGGCTCCCGGGGTTTTGGGTCCAGCAGCTGCCACTCCCTGGGCTATGGGTCTAGAAGCTCTTACTCACCGAGCTGTGGATCCAGCAGCTTCAGACCCGTGAGTTACCAAGTCCGTGGCTCTCCTTCCTTTGGTTATGGATCTGGAGTCTGCCACCCAACCTGTGTTACTTCCAGAAGTTCCCAGTCTTGTTACAGACCCACCTGTGGATCAGCCATCTGCAGATCAACTTGTTGAAATTTCTCATATTTTAAGTAAAATATCTGAGTCAACTCGGAGCTATTGTCATAGGCTTTTTCTATGCTGGCTACTCCCTCTCTGTGTCCTTTCTCTGGCTTCAAAATTGCTCTTTCAGACCAAGCAATGAATGAATATCTAAAATATAATGTCAAGTTCCTTTTGAAACTATTGATTATTACATAGCTCATAAATTCTTTCCAAAAAATTTATAGAAGTTCAGTTATATTTGACCTAATAAAGTCATTCACTCTTGCATCCAATATGATCTTGTGATTTTTTACTGATTGTCAAAGTTTGATTTGTAATCTGTGGGGCTCCACATTTTCCAATTATCTTCCTGAGAAAACCCACATCTCTGGGAAATGGCATCAGGCCTGGAACATGAAGGCATTCTCTGGGCCCCCCACTGCCAAAAAGCTGGCAGGTATAGGCCTTCTGGGATTTTTAGCAGTGTTACTAAGAGTTTGCATACAATGATCAACAGTCACCGTCTCATATTTTCAATGAGAGAACACTATGTTGACAAGTTTGTTTTGTAACTTATATATTTGCTGCAATATTGATTTAGGTTATACCCCAGAAGATATAAACTGGATGATTAACTGTTTATAAAATATATTACTTGACATAGTTGAGTAAATCTGATATAGTGAATGAAAAGAGACATTATGGTTATCTTTAAGTACATGAGAATATGTGTTTCACTGGGTGTCAGGGACGAAGATAAAAATAAAGACAGTGACTTAAAGGAGAACTCTGAGTGATGAAGAGATTTGGGGGCCAGGGTCACATTTTGTCTTGTTGTAATGAAGTCTATGCATCTGTCCCTCAGTATCTGTGAATGATGAGCTCCAGGAAGTTCCATAGAGGCCTTAATCCATACAATAAGTTCCCCAATGTAAAATGGTATTGTGTTTCCATATAAAATATACACACCTTCTTGTAAACTTTAAATCACATCTCTGCACAATACCCAATATAATATATACTTTTTAATCTAAGGAAAATAGAAAAAAAGACTTTACACGAGTTCAGTAGTAATGCAATTTGGGGCACGTATTTCAAAGCCATATTTCCTTGGTTTCATGAATGTTGAAGCGCCAGATATGTAGCGTGGCTATGTTTAAAAGTTGTAAATTTATAGAATTTTAGGATTATTAATATTTAAGGGCTTTTTATGTTATTGAGTCCCTCGAATCTTGATCAATAGTTTACTGCTTTTTTTTCACTGAGTAAGAAGTGAGGTTGGATTACTTTTGCTGTTCTGAATCCTGTAAGTCCCCTACTTCTCCCTGGGATCCAATCAGCTACAATAGTGAAGATGAAAACAAATCATTGTCGTACACTACTGATGTCTGAGGAGCATAGTCTCTATGATCCTCTAACTTTGGGTAGGTTGCTTCAAGGCTGATGTCATGGGAAATACATACAGCAGTTGAAAGGTTTCCTGGTAATACTGCTCCATGAGTAGAAGAGGAATAATAAAAAATTATCATTTATTTCTATTATGGGTCTGTTTATTGATTTGTCTTCCCTAATATACTTTTCTTAATTCTCCTTCAAATAAATCTGAGGAAAGAGGGCATCTCTTTATATTAAGGGCAAGCATGAAAATGTGGGAACCGGATCTTCTGTGGACAAGCAGCTCTAAGAGTGGAGTTTATATCTCTAAGTGCCTATATTAAAAAAATTCAGAAAAGAGCATGAATAAATGACTCAATAGTACAACTCAAGATTCTGAAAAGGCAAGAAAATCAACCCCCAACCAGTAGAGAAGAAGAAATAACAAAGATCAGAGCAGAATTTAATGAAATAGAAATGATGAAAACAATACCCCCCCCAAAAAAAAATCAATGAAAGAGCTGGTTCTTTGAAAAATTAAACAAGATAGATAAACCCTTACCCAGTCGAAAGAAAGAAAGAAGAAATAAAGAAAGCAAGAAAGAAAGAAAGAGAGAGAAAGAAAGAATCCAAATTAACAAAATCAGAGACGAAAGGGGAAATATCACAACAGACACATACATACACACACGCACACACACACACACATACACACCACACATGCACATATCCAAAAAGACCATTCAAAATGAACAAGCTAGCTTTATCTCACTTATGCAAGCATGGCTCAACATTTGTAAGGCAATAAATGTAATACAACATAAAACAGAGTCCGAGAAAATTACATGGTCATTTCAACAGGCGCAAGAAAGACCTTTGACAAAATCCAACCCAACATCACTTCATGATAAAAGTCCTAGAGAGAATAAGGTTAGAGGGAACACACCTTGACTTAATAAAGGCTATGTGTGACAAACTTGCAGTCAGTGTTATCCTAAATGGAGGAAAAAGTTAAAGAAATCTCACTAAAATCGGGAAAAAGCCAGGGTTGTCCTCTGTCACTTCTACCTCCACTCTTACTTGATGTATTGTTTGAATTCTTAGGTAAGCAAGAAGGTGGGACATGAAATAAAAGGATGAAACCCGCAAAGAAAATGCTGTTTAAAATGTCAAAGAGTTTTCCCATTCTAGTGGAAGTAAAATAGCTGAACAAAAATTGAACTAATGAAACAGGCAAAAGCAAAATCCGTTTGTTTGAATGCTTACAATACTTACACATTTTTTATGTTCTGGTTTGTTTCATTATCACTTCAAAACAATTTTAAAACTCAATTATCTCTGCCAAAAGAAGAAAAAGCAAAAGCAGACTCACAGAAATCAGACCTCTTGACAGTGCTGAGGAACTTGCTTCTGAGGCTCTCCTGGGTTGTCGACCAGCTTGATGTGCCGACCTCAGGCCAACCCCAACAGCCCACATACAGCACAAGGGGCTCAAGCTGCCATCAGGTTCCTATCCTAAGGCTATGGCATCTGGTCAATGGGTTTCAACCATACCAGGTAAGAGGCCCATTTCACACCTACCTAGACACCACTGCCCAGATGTATGTTCAGAACAGATGCAGACTGAAGGGGAAACGATGCTCACTCATTGAACACTCGAGCATCCACTGTCATCCCAGCTTCTCTGCCCAGCAGCCCCATGATCATTCCCTTCTCTTTCCAAATGGTTCTTTGGAGATTAAGACAGAGGAGAGGATGCTGAGGTCATCCAACATGATCTGACTTTGCACAGCCTCTGGCTTCTGTAAGAACCCAATTTCGGAGTGGGGAGGGGAAGGGCCAGAGGCCGTGAGATGGAAGGTTGGAGGCTGCAGGGAAACGTCTCAGGGTGGGCCACAGGAAGCAGCTCTTCCTACCCCAGTCAGAGTGAGAGGGGCTAGGAAGGATATACTCCTGCAGCTCCCCTGCTGATGCAGGATGGAGCAGACCATCGTCACCGCCAGAACCCACAGCAGAAGTATCTGGGTGATTTTATTTAGGACAATGTTGATGCCGGCACAACTCGCCATAGTCAAGTCTCAAAAACACTTTTGGGCCTGTTCAGTGAGGAAAAGAGTAAACAGGCAAAGGTAAATTTCCTCATGTTGGAGGGAGGTAGGTCCTTTGTACACGTAGGCATAGAGGGCATCGTTGGCTCCTTTCTCAGAGACATCAGTTATCATTGACCTCATAATGCTCATGCACCTTTCCATTTTCTAACTCAACCTTGACATCCAAACTGACTGGAAGTAGCTCTTGGGGCTCCTGCCCTTCCTCCATCTCCTGCTGTTCCTGATGCACCCCCTTCTCCTTCTGTAACTCCAGGAATGCATCCAAGAGACTGGAAGAGGTCAAGGGAGTGGACAGTAAGTCCTAGAAATAGGTAACTCTGAGTAGCCAGGACTGAGGGGCAAGAGGAACAAGAGGGAAGGTGGCTAGAGGCCTTGCTTGCTGCACTGGTCCCTCCTGTCCTGCAGGAGGGTGAAGGCTAGAGTCCTCTGGATGCTCCCTTAGAAGTGTCAGTGCAGGCAGTTAGCTCAGAGAAGTGTAGTAGACTAAGGGACCTTGTCTGTGGGAAGTTCAGCAAGGCTACCTTCACAAGTGCAATGGGGAACTCTTAATGGCTTCTGACCCTAATCGGAAGGGAAAGCCCTAAGTTTTTGCCTCTAGAGGTGGAAGAGGGGTCCTGGCTCTGCAAAAGGGATAGGAAACCTTCCTGATTGGTTGGGGAAGGCAGACCCTTTGAATCAAGCCTCTAATGGGTGAGGATGACGCAGTAGTGCTACTGGAGCTTATGGAGGACCAGCTTCTCCCCAGAACATGCAGAGGCAGCCGTGGTGGTACGGTGTGGGGAGGCTGAGAGTCCTTAACGTTTTGTGAAACAAGATTTCACTATGTAACTCAGCCATATCTTGAAAATTGCTAGGATTACAGATTACAGGAATGTGCCACTACACATGGTCTGGGGGTTGAACCCAACGGCTTGCATATGCTACTTAAGCACTCTACCACTGAACCACCTGCCCAGCCCTTATCCTTCCCAAGTATAATGTGAAGATTTGGATTTCAGGCACCAGACAGAATGGGGACACTTTGTGTCCTACAATGCCTGCCTAGTAATCATTTCTTAGTATGTCTTATAATCTGCAGTGTTTTTCTGTTTTATTTTCTCTTAGCTGTTTGTAAACATCTCCCTCTCTCCCCTTTCTTTCTCTCTCAATTTCAACCTCTTATGTTCTCTCTCCTTTAGACTGCTATATTAGCTCAATGACTGGGTTGGATAATGGTTACCTGAAGGTTATGGATCCATCATTTACTAAGAAAAAGATGAGAAATGAAAAATGAAGACTGGGTAAGAGCTTTCAAACTCATGTAACTCATACTCATTGTGACTCTAATTGTCTTAATAGACGACATCATGTGAGTTCTTTGTTAGGGATTCAGCCCAACAGATACCTAGATACATTTTGCTCTAATGAAAATGTTGGATGCTTAGAAAAAAAGCGGCTTTTGTCTCTAAAGAGTTAATGTCTAGAGAGAGAAACAAATTTTCTCCTATAATCTTGGTGTGACATGTGTGTGTGAAAAGGGCTGGTTGTAAGCAGTTACTGCCTAAG